CCCACAACCCCATCACCCCATTGCTGCCATAACCCCATAACCCCATCACCCCATAACCCCTGTCACCCCATAACCCCCGTCACCCCATATCCCTATCACCCTACAACCCCATCACCCTACAACCCCATAACCTCCATCACCCCATAACCCCATCGCCACATCATTGCCATTACCCCATAATCCCATCACTGCCACAACCCCATAACCCCATAACCCCACAACCCCATCACCCCATCACTGCCACAACCCCATAACCCCACAACTCCATGACCCCATCACTGCCACAACCCCACCACCCGCCTCCCCCTCACCCCGTCCCCACGTCACTCCCTGCCCCCATCGCTGCCCCATCCCAAATCCCTCCATCCCAAATCCCTCCATCCCAAATCCCTCCCTGCCCCCCCCACCCCACAAGTCCCCCCGCCGCCCCTCACTGCCCCCCGCCCCACAGATGTCCCCATACGACAGCCTGCTGCTGTGCCAGCCCGTCTCGTCGCCGCTGCCGCTCAGGTGGGGGGCAGTAATGGGGTCACACGGGGGGGACACGTGGCATTTGGGATGGGGGATGCGGCATTTGGGACGTGGCACTGGGAGCAGATGTGGTGATGGGGGTGTGACAGCGGGGTGTGTGGGGTTGGGGACGTGGGGTTGGGGTCCCACACGGTGATGGGGACGCAGCAGTGGGGACGGATGTGGGATGGGGACATGACAATGGGGACGTGGCAGTGGGGATGTGGCAATGGGGACGGACGTCGGGATGGGGACGTGGCAGTGGGGATGGACGTGGGGATGGATGTGACAATGGGGTCCCTTGTGGCGATGGGGACGTGGCACTGGGGATGGACGTGGCTTTGGGATCCCTTGTTGCTCTGGGGTCCTACATGGCTTTGGGGACAGACATGGCACTGGGGACAGATGTGGCTTTGGGATCCCTCGTGGCCCTGGGACCCCTCACATCTTTGGGGATGGACGTGGCTTTGGGGTCCCATGTGGCCCTGGGTTCCCTCGTGGCTTTGGGGTCCCTGATGTCTTTGGGGATGGACGTGGCTCTGGGGACGGAGGTGGCTTTGGGGTCCCTGGTGCCTTTGGGGATGGAGGTGGCCCTGGGTTCCCTTGTGGCTTTGGGGGTGGATGTCGCTTTGGGGTCCCTCGTGGCTTTGGGGACGGACGTGGCCCTGGGGTCCCTCATGGCCCTGGGGTCCCACTTGGCTCTGGGGACGGACGTGATGTTGGGGTCCCTGATGTCTTTGGGGACGGAGGTGGCCCTGGGGTCCCTCGTGGCCCCGGGGTCCCACATGCCACTGGGGATGGATGTGGCTGTGGGTTCCCTCGTGGCCCCGGGGTCCTTGGTGCCTTTGGGGACAGACGTGGCGCTGTGTTCCCTTGTGGCTTTGGGGACAGACGTGGCCCTGGGGTCCCATGTGGCCGTGGGGTCCCTGGTGCCCCTGGGGAGGACGTGGCGCTGTGTTCCCTCGTGTCCCCGGGGTCCCTGGTGGCTTTGGGGACGGACGTGGCTCTGGGTTCCCTCGTGTCCCCGGGGTCCCTGGTGGCTTTGGGGACAGACGTGGCTCTGTGTTCCCTCGTGTCCCCGGGGTCCCCCACATCCCTGGGGCCGGACGAGGCGCCCCGCGGTGCCCACAGCCCAGGGCGCGCGGCTGACGCGGCCCCGCAGCGGGGCGAGCTTTGTGACCCTGCTGCAGACGCTGGGCGCGGAGCAGGCGGTGGCGCTGCTGGTGGCCGTGCTGACGGAGCAGAAGCTGCTCATCCACTCCCTGCGGCCCGACGTGCTGACCAGCGTGGGAGAGGCGCTGGTGTCGGTGAGGGGGGCGGCGGGGGGCTTTGGTTCCGGGCGGCGGGAGGCGGGCGCGCTGACGGCTGTCTGTCCCCAGATGATCTTCCCCCTGCGCTGGCAGTGCCCCTACATCCCGCTGTGCCCGCTGGCGCTGTGCGACGTGCTGAGTGCCCCCGTGCCCTTCGTTGTAGGCCTGCATTCCAGCTACTTCGACCTCCACGAGCCGCCGCGCGACGTCATCTTCGTGGACCTGGACACCAACAGCATCTTCCAGTGAGGGGGGGGTGGGGAGGGGGCTCGGCGCCCACCCGAACGTCCTGCTGCCCCTG